TTGAAAAGGTAAGGCAACTACTGTCAAGTCGAAAAGGACATAATGTTAAATGATGGGATTTTACGCATAACTGGTTAAATAATATTAAAGTTGAGATTATGATGGACTAAAAAAGGGCAATTTCTAGTTTTCTCTAGGATGTTATGAGAAAGGATGCCTGCAATAGGAGTAATCTCTATGGGGATGTTCAGTCTTTGCCCTCAACTGGGCTTGCTGTCAGATTGTGGTGAAACCACCAAAAGGCCTGGGAATGCATTTAATATCTTTGCAGACTTACACATTTTTCAAAAAATGGCAAATTAGAGGTGTGCAATAGCAGTAATGTTAATCAAGGTACTTGTAGTCAATGTAAATACAGAAAAAGCCTAGCTGTTATTTCATTATATTCCTATGTTTGTGTCCTCTGAGGACTCCTTTCAAGGGATGTGGGGGGTCTCATTGTGCTGGCCTGCAAAGAGAGAGGTTGCCACTATTGTGTGGGTCATAGTACTGAACAGGTGCTTCCCCTCAAATGAACTCTCTTTAACCAGCTTGTGATTTGTCTAAATGCAGGCTGGAATTAAATCATACATTCTGTAGTTCTAGGTTCTGCTAACATTCTATAAAGAGATAATGAACTTTCAAAAGTTAAAATAATTCTCAGACTTACTAGAATGTGTGGGACATTCTGTCTAGTAGATTATTTTTTAAATTCTTGTTTAGTATATTCAGTGGAATAGATAACAAATGAATGCTTCCTGAGGTTCTGCTCTGTCATTTGCCCTGTGATGTTGGGCAAATAAAATTTTAACTCCTCCAACAAGCATCAGTTTTTCCAGCTGTAAAATTTGATGTTCTTCAGGAGGTATGTGCAAAGTGTTTTGGTGGTGGTTCTCAGCTTCATACAAAAAGTGGTCAGGCTTGAGGGGAGTAGACACATAATTGTCCACCATGATGGGAAGGAGTGCCCTTTGCGAGGCTTGCTTGGGCACCTGCAGGGACTCCCTGCTTCTGCTTCTGTCACCCTTCTGGAGTTTCTTGCTATGAGGTTCCATGTAGTAGCCCTGTGATTTTCGTGAGTGATGCACAAAGATGAGATAAGCAGGAGGGAGGAGTTAGGGTAGGCTAAAGACAGTTCTAGGTTACGGAATAGTTGAAATAAACTATTTTGAAGTAAACTCAAGCAGTTTCCTGGGGAAGAGAAAAATATGTAGTTAAAAGAGTTTCAGGATTTAAAATTTGAGGTGTTTGCATGATACCCATGTGAATGTCTCCAGTAGAAAATCATTGGTGATTCAGAAGGAAGGTTATTGCCAGAGAAGGCAGTGCTGTGGGAGTGAATAAAAACACCCCGGGTAGTGTGGAAAAGGAAGAGACCTGAAGTCTGGGCTCTGCAGGTCCTCTGGATGGATGCATGTGTGCAAGATTGACCTCCCCAGGTCTAGCCCACCTCCACTCACACAGCCACCGGTTTATCCTCACTCCTCCTAATGACATTAGCCGGATGGAGGCTGGCAAGTTAACCTGTGCTTCAGTTTTCTTATCTGTAAGATGGGAAGAATATTATGTACCTCAAGGTTGTGAGGATTAAATAAGTATTTAAACAGTACTGGCACATCAGTGGTCAGTAACGTTAACGGGACTGCCTTTTCCTGTTGAGATAACTTTGATTTCCAGTAGGGTCCAGTTCCCATCCCTCTTAATGATTGGAGCCAGTGATGATCATTATCTTTCTTGTATTTATTCCCTGCCACACAATTACCATTTAAGTAGATGGTATTTTAGTGTGTTTATGATCTTTATGAGTCTTGCCTTCTCAACGGAAATGTAAGCTTCCCTTAACATCAGGACCACTTCTCACACTTGTGTATACAGCCATTCATTTCTTAAACACTGGTTATCTCTATCAGTATGGTGAAGTCGCTCAGTCATGTCCGTCTCTGCATAACTTAGAATAAATCCTAATGTTCTAGGACTGTTTTGGTGCCGAGTAGGAACTCAATACTTGAACCCACAAGTGAAAAATCTAAGATTATCTAAATATTTGTTCCTTCCTACTTGGGTATATTGTGACAGATGTGGCACAGATAGCAGGGAAACACTCCTTACTAAATGAGTGCTTTCCTTCTTCCTGGCAGCTTTCAAGAGTTGGTAAAAAATGCACATCATCTGGAAAACAAACTCAGACTGCCTGGGGAAACGCATTCTGTGAGACTTGCTTCCTGGAACCAGGGTGATGACCTGTACTTTAAACAGTGCAAGTGGAGAAGAGGTTGCAAAGGCATGTAGTAACATAATAACATAGAGCATAATATTCAGGCTTCTGGGTCTCGGCATCTCAATATGTAAAACTGAGGGCGGGGTGGTGGTTCGATGAGGTGATCTTTTAAGTTCCATGTCTTCAAGCAATAAAGATGCTAGTATTCACTGGCAATCAGTGAAGCATTGTTTTATGAAATGGCAACCCACTCCAGTACAGTACTCTTGCCTGGAAAATTCCATGGACAGAGGATCCTGGTACGCTACAGTCCATGGGGTCGCAAAGAGTTGGACATGACTGAGAGGCTTCACTTAACTATACATTGTTTTATACATAATTATTATAAATTGCAGAAATATTAGGTAAATTTTATAGGGCTCAAAAATAATGCCAGCAAAACTAATGACAACATCTCTTACAAAACTTTAGAATCCTATCTCTACCCTCCAGAAACAACTACTAACTTGGCCCAAAGCAAAATAGTACTGATAATGTTGTCTGGCTCACAATTAAGCAGTCAGATAATATACTCTGAGTTAAATGTGGCTATATGGCTATATACTTCAGTCAGTACTTAGTCGACTCAGTAAAATCTCAGCTAACTATGTGATCTTGAATTTAACTTTGCTATTTTCTCATCTGCAAAGTAAAGATAAAGGTATGTCTAAGCCTAGACAGCATATTCAAAAGCAGAGACATTACTTTGCTGACAAAGGTTCATATAGACAAAGCTATGGTTTTTCCAGTAGTCATGTACTGATGTGAGAGTTGGACCATAAAGAAGTCTGAGGGCTGAGGAACTGATGCTTTTGAACTGTGGTGCTGGAGAGGACTTGAGAGTCCCTTGGACTGCAAGGAGATCAAAGCTGTCAAATCTTAAAGGAAATAAACCCAGAATATCATTGGAAGGACTGATGCTGAAGATGAAACTCCAATACTTTGGCCACCTGATGCGAAGAGCCAACTCACTGGAAAAGACTTTGATGCTGGTAAAGATTGAAGGCAGGAGAAGAAGGGGATGACAGAGGATGAGATGGCTGGATGGCATCAGTGGACATGAGTTCTGAGCAAACTCCAGGAGATAGTGAAGGACAAGGAAGCCTGGCATGCTGCAAGTCCATGGGGTTGCAAAGAGTTGGACATGACTTAGCGACTGAACAACAACATTAACATAGCACTTATGTGCTTAGAACTACTGTTTTATGTGCTTTACATTATGCTAACTTAATATAATCGTTTTTACCTCTTCATGTCATTGAAACACCTCACCCCCAAAGCACTTACTACATTATGTTGGACTGTATTCCCCCCTCCCCCCCGGGTATAAATTACAGAAACTCCAAAAATTTCTAACATTGAAAATGCTTTAATAAAAAATATTTGGTGAATGGAAATGTGATATTGTGCTGGAGGAATTGGGATCTATTTATAATGGTGAAATTAGATCATTATTAGGATTAAAATAAGTTCTCTAGTAGTCAGGAACTTCTGATCTTTATTCATCCCCACGAGTCACTATGACTTTTATGATTTTAAGGCTGACTTTATGACACTTCTGTGGCCATCCAGTGGTTAAGACTCCACACTTCCACTGCAGGGGGCATGGGTTTGATCCCTGGTCAGGGGACCAAGATCCTGCATGTTGTTCAAACAAACTAACAACAACAGAAACCTACCTCAGACCTCATGATCCCACTTAAGAAACAACTCATGAAACCTTGTTTACCAGCTGTAAAGAAGTTGAATGTTTTGGTTTTTAGAAATCTTAGTAATTCATAGTTATTGAATGAGTGTATCACTCGAAAAAAAAAAAAGCTCTTGGTGTGGTAAAACAGAAGACATGACCTGTGATTTATTTGAGAAATGACAAAGTTATCTATTTTTTTTTTAACACTTTACCCCCCCCAAAATACCTAGTATAAAACAACGGTTTGAATTTTCATTTCAATGAAAGAGTGTGTAAAAGAGGTGATGTCTATCTGGACTGTACTCATGTAAAGATTCTCATTAAAAAAAATTATTTGGCTGCACCAGGTCTTAGTTGCAGCATGCAGGATCTTTGATCTTTGTTGCAGCATGTGGGATCTTTAGTTGTGACATGCAGATTTTTAGTTATGGCATGTGGGATCTAGTTCCCTGACCAGGGGTCGAACCCGGACCGCCTGTATTGAGAGTCCAGTCTTAGCCACTGGACTACCAGGGAAGTCCCAAGATCAGGAAATTAAGGTCAGGGTCATTTCTGAGTAAAGAATAAGATGATGGGAATTTAGTCAATGCCATAAGTGGAATCATCTTTCCTATTAAGTAGTAATTAACCCTTAAATAGCATTTACTATGGGGTAGACAACTCTGTGTGGTATTATTAACTCCATTTTAAAGATGAAAACAGCACCAAACATAACCAGCTTGTCTAAAGTCACCTCTATGGGATGTGGCAGAGGGCAGAAGTGAAACTTGGCCGTCTGATTCCAGGGTTTGTGCTCGGAACAGTAACAGAAAAGTAGTGGAGCGATGGTGATAGCAAAAACAACCCCCCAGCGCTCAGACCAAATGGGGTTACAGAGATAGAAGAGACACAAAGACAACAGTCAAGACACCAAAGAGACAAGGAAATACTTCCAACCCCCTCTTCCTCCATTCCTCCTACCACTGTATCGTCCGTGTCACCAGGACGATACACCACTAGAGTGTGTGGTGTGTAGAGTGTACAGCCCTCCTACCACTAGAGAATGCTTTTGTCATTGTTGGTGGTAGAACTCTATAATTATATATATAACAATTTATTGGTACCCGCTGGGGATGGGGAGAAGGGTCAAGTCGGTATAACGTTTGTACTTAAAAGAATGATGATGATTGAAAGGAGAATTGCCATGCTGATGATTATGATCTTTTTGCAGTGTTTCCGCCATATCCTCCTAAGAATCTGTATTGTTTGGGGGGATTCTTTGGCCTGAAATAAAAAAAAAACAAATTTCATGATTTCTTCTGATTTCTGGATTAATATGTACCCTACAATACATATTAGAACTATTTAGAAGAATGGATTTAATTTGATTTTGATCAGTCACAAAGTCTCAGTAGGTCTGAGCAGCTGTTCTAAAACGATGCACCAAGATTCCTTATGGTGTTCAGCTGTAGTTTTATTGGCTTTGTAAATTTTTGACCTTTAAAAGTTACTCTCTGAACTCCAGTTTCCTCATCTTCATGATTTTACAAGTGTCACTCTCCCTTACAACCCTATTTAAAATTGCTAACTCATCTCCATTCCAGCAGCCCTCTTCCCTCTCAATACATTATTTTTTCCCAAAGTACTTACCTCTCCTCTAACAATATGTAAATTTTACTTTTATTGTTTGTTGAGAATGTAAGCTCTATGAAGGCAGGAATTTTTGTCTGTTTCTTTCACTGCTATAGTCCCAACAGTGAACCAACGATATACAGCAGGTGTTTAGTTAATATTTGTTGAAAAAAAAGAATGACTAAATCTGCTTATTAAATAAGGATAATAGTACTTGCCACAGACTAGCCCAGATTGTGAGAATTAATCAAGATAGTGAATACAGTATATCAAGACTGGATATACGAATAAATTATGCTATTATTCATATTTTGAGGGATAATGAGATGGATTTCCTTAAGTATAATACAAAAAGTTTCATATCTTCACCTAATTAACCTAAACAAAATAGCTCACTTTTATTAACTATTATTAAAATTATTAAAAGAATTCAAGGAGCAATGACGAGAAATGAAACGTGGCCATGCAAAATTATAAAATTCTTCTGCCCACCCCCCTGAAGTAAGCTTTATTGTTTTCATTTGGTCCACTCCTTTTTGTTTTTAAAATACATGTAACCGCTTTTCATCTAGTCATGATACAAGTGAATTGCTTGATGCTTATATGGATTTCTGCTGTCCTCCACTTGGATGAGGAAAACTATCCTATTTCAGTTATCTTTCTTCATGCATCAGGTCTGCTGCTTTAGTCTCAGTGTACAGTGATTTTCCAGGAACAAAATCAAGGTAGGTGCTTGCAGTGCTTACTGTTAAGTGGCATGAGTCCTGGCATGCCACTCAGATGGCCTCATGACTCTAGTTTATGACAAGTTATGGGAGCCCAGGTTTGTATATCCAAGATGATGTTGATCATTCCCAAAGACTTGGAGTATGGAAGCTAGCGACTAGGTGTACTTTCCAATGTGTTACAATGCTTTAAGTACAGGTACCATAGGATGTGCATTATATGTATTTATGCACGATACTATGTAGTACTTATAATAACCTTAGATTAATATTCCTGTTTTACAGTGTTGAAGAAAAATGAGGCTCAGAAAGGTTGAAGTTACTGGCCTCAGATTTAGAGAAAGTGATGGAGCTGGAATTTAGATCTAGAATTGTGTGACTCTATACTGCCTTGTATAGAAATATTGAATTAAGGTATAAATGGGCTTTACATTCTTCTCTTGGATTATTCTCTTTTATTAATCTAACATGCATGTACAGTTTGGGCAGTCAGAATCCTATAAGGCATGTGAGTAAAAAGCGCCTTCTCCTGTCCTTTCCACCCCAACCCTATTTTTCAGAGGTAATCACTTTCAGCTCTTGTTTGTGTGTTTTGTTAGTTGCTGTATCCCTATTACCCGGAACAGTGGTTCTCACCTGGGGATGCTTGTGCCTTCCCGAGAGCACTGGGCAATATCAGGAGACATTTTTGCCTGTCATGAATGTAGGGGGTGCTACTGGGCTAGGAGCCAGGAATGCTGTTGAACATCCTACAAGGCCTAGGGCAGTCCGAAGTGTGCCATGGTTGAGAAACCCTGACCTGAAACAGTGTCTGACATATAGTGGGTGATCAGTAAATACTTGCTCAATACATCTCATTTAACTGTTTATTTTTTCCTGGGCTCTTCCTGGACCAGGGATTGAACCCGTGTCCCCTGCATTGCCAGGTAGATTCTGAACCACTGGACCACCAGGGAAGTCCCTTCTGCTTTATCTTGGAAGTTCCACATGGAGTCTTTTGATCTGCTCCAGTGGGTTTTGGTTGGGGTCCAGGTTTGCTGTACCTAAAGCTTTAGTCTTCAGATCTTTCTTCACCAGTATTCTGGGCATGCCCTTTCTCTTGTGTTTGCCTCCTGTTTTTTCAATCCCGTTTCTTTTCATTTCTTGATTTATTCCCTCTTGTTGGTAAAAAATTTCTTCTGAAAATTTCTTAGAAAGAGTGACTGGGAAGTAAGTTTCTGAAAATTTACATACCTAGAAATGTCCTTATTCTACCCTTACATTGAGTTGGTAATTTGGTTATATAAATCTAGTGTGGAAATAATTTTCTTTCAGGATTCCGAAAGCATTCCTTCTTTTTGCTTTAGCACACCTATACTATTTTTGCAAAATCTGTTATTCTAATTGCCAAGTCTTTGTTTTTCTTTCTCCATCTGAAAGCCTTCAGAATTCTCTCATCCTTTCTAACATTCTATAATTTCAAGATTATATGCTCTGCTATGGTCCTTTTTTGTTGTTCATTGAATCTGTAAATTCACGTTGTTTTATGAATTTTTCTTGTATTAATCTGGTTTTCTCTCCTCTGATTCTTTCATTTCCTTTTTCTGAAACTCCTGTTATTCATATGTTGGATCTCTTAGACTATCCTCTTTCTTCTCTTTTTTTGCTCTACTCTCTGAGAGAATATCTCAACTTTTTATTTCAATAATTCTATTTAATTTAAAAATTTTACTACTGTTTTAATTTCCAAAAGATCTTTTTGTTTTATGAATAAGTTTTTATATAGTTTTCCATTCTGTTTTCAGAGTTGTATTATATTCTGTTATTTCTCCCAGGACATTAGAGAGTTCTTTTTCTTCTTTTTAAGTACAGTTGATTTACAATATTGTGTTAGTTTCAGGTATATACCACAGTGATTCAGTAATATATATATATATCTTTTCAGATTCTTTTCCCTTATAGGTTATTACAAAACATTGAGTATAGTTCTCTGTGCTATATAGTAGGTTATTGTTGGTTATGTATTTTATAGAGAGGAGTATGTATATGTTAATCTCAAACTCCTAATTTGTCCTTCTCCCCTAGAGAGGATTATTATTAACAGCTTATTTTTTTCCCATGCCATGCAGCATATGGGATCTTAGTTCCCCAACCAAGATCTAATCTGTGCCCCCTGCACTGGAAGTACAGTCTTAAGGACTGGACCACTAGGGAAGTTAGAGGCTTTTTGTTTTTTGTTTTATAATGAAGCTTTCTTTTGCTTCTGCATCATCTGTTTTGTCTGAGTTTCTTTTTTTCCTGTTTACTTTTATTTATTTTTTTATTATAGAGATTTTTCTCAAATATCTCACGGTCGGTGTTGTTGATTTTACTAAAGTGATGGTTGGAAACTCAGTATGAGTGAGTGAGGGTATCATTTGGTGAGTTTCACTATAGGGTAACCTGGTGCACACCTGACCGTTTCACTGGGGGAATGCCTCAATACCTGTAGGTTAGTATCTGTAGGTCTTTTTTCCTTGGTCTAGTCAGTTTTCTTAGGGAGGAATCCTCTAATCTCCCGCTGAGTGAAGCTGACTGGGAGTCAGGTTGGAGAGTGGTCACCATATTCTAAAGTTCACCTAATTTTAATATGATGGTCACTCTGGCCTTAACTGCACCTGGTATCTGAATTTAAAATCTCTTAGATCTGTTGTCTTTAGATAATACAATTTATTATCCTTTGTCAGTGATAAGGAGAGGAAGCAGAGTGGTTGTAAAAAGAAGGGAGGGGACTCTACACTTGTTCCTTTTAAAAACTTTATACTCAAGTCACTTCAAAGACCCATACTGCTTTTATTTTATTTTATTTTGATGGATGTGTGTATTTTATTTATTTTTTTTTCATTTATTTTTATTAGTTGGAGGCTAATTACTTTACAATACTGCTTTTAGAAGTACCATGTGTCTACTTTTAGAAGTACCATGCGTGTCCAGTTGCTGATCCTTTCCAAGGTTTTATGGCCTGGATTAATTTGCGTCTTAATATCTTCTGCTACTATAAGCTTGTGTTTTCAGCTTTCACTGCTTGAATTGAAGCTATTAAATACAAAGAACCAAAATTTTTTCTAGCTCCTAAAATTTTGAGATTTCTTTCCTGTTATTCTTTTTCTAAAAAATCCTAGTGGTTTGTACATTAAAATTTGTAACTGTTGTTTTACTTATCATTTTATGGAGTTTTGAGAGCATACCATGAAAAATGTATATGCTTAATCTGCTAGGTTCAAATCCATGACCCATATTTATCTGTAGGCAGACTGACAGAAAGCTTATTGTCCTAGTTTTTGTTAAAAAAAACCCTGCTTTTTAAGTACATTTAGTAGAGTCTTTTACAAAAAGATTCAGAGAAAAGAGAGAGAAGATTAATTTAGATAGCCAAAAATAGAGGATTTAGTGAGAAAGATTATATGATATCTGTGTGAAAATAATCTGAGAACAATTATAAAATACTTTAGTGAAATTTCATCTTGTTTTGAGCTGCTTCTACTCAACTGGCTTCAAAGAGAAAGTAATTTTTTCCCATGTAATCATGAAAATACAATGTATACATAAAAGTGGGATTCTTGGAAGGGAAGGCAAAAAGTCTCAACTTTTTTTTGCCAAAACTTTCTGGGATTTAGATATTGCTTCTTTTCTGACAAGAAAGATACATGATATAACCTAATAGAAAAGGTAAAAGGTCCAGTGATATAGTGGGTTATGTAACTATAACCTTGCCACTTTGTGTGGGTGTTCTCAGTCCTGTGATTCTTTGTGACCCCGTGGACTGTAGTTCGCCAGGCTCTGCTGTCCATGGGATTCTCCAGGCAAGAATAATAGAGTGGGTTGCCATTTCCTCCTCCAGGGGATCTTCCCCACCCAGGAATCAAACCTGTGTCTCCTACACTGGCAGGTGGATTCTTTACCACTGAG